ACAAATTTTAACTACTTTATACTGTTTCTGTAACAATGTGGTAATTTTTATAATGTGATCCTAAACTCTAAATATTTTCAGCTGAGATTTGTAATGTAGTATAAACTGTAATATAACAGTAACTCAAGTAAGGCTCAAGTAGTTGGAAATTGTTAGTTCAGTGGTTGAGTAACTTTCTGTCTCACATGCAAGAGCTGATCAAAACACTTTTCAGTAGCTCGATATAATCTCAACCACTTCTCAAAAATAGCATGTCATCGTCACGTCTGTGATGAAGACACAAAAATATGTAAAAACAAAGGCATATTTTGGCGTTTGGAGGTTGTTATGTGAACCTGCATGTGTGTCAAAGTCAGAAACACGAGAGAGGAGGTCTGCAGGTGGCATAGGGGCAAGGAGACCTCACCTATCCATCTCCTGTGTTTGCCAACTGAGCAGAGTGTGGGACAGCAGTTGGTGTCATTGCGAGTGTGTGTGTATGTGTGTGTGTGTGTGTGTGTGTGTGTGTGTGTGCGCGCGCGCATGCTGCTGCCAGGAAAGAGAGCCTACCAGCATACGGATTGCATTGACTGAAAGATAGGAAGGAAGAAAGTAAGAAGAGCAAAGCCTGGAAATCTTCAAAACGAGAGGGCCTCTTTTGATGTGTGTTTGCATTCCTTTCAGTGTTGGTGAAAGGGGAGCTGTTGAACGGTAGTGGAGGAGAGGAACACTTGAAACTGAACGAGGCGCTAAGAAAAACACACACCAGGTCTCATAACAAAAGTCCTGCGAGTCTGAGAAAGGAGGGGGTAGAAGGTGAATTAACAGTGAGAGGAAGAGAAGAAAAGATGAGGCAGGGAGACGGTTCTCTTTAAACGAGAGGTCTGCAAACGGGGGCAAGATAATTACTGAGCTGAACTGTAGATTCATTAGTCAAGTGATTATCCTGACTTTCTTATTTCAAGATTTCTGCATTTTCCAGGCAAAAAACAAGTGATTCTGCGTTTCGAAACAAGTGGAATTATCTGATCCTCTTATGATTTGAAGTCTGACCTGAGCAGAAGAAAACATAACAGTGACTTTCCCCATTACATCAGTCTTTTTCCTGTGCCTCGTGTGGTTAAGTAGCACGTCTGGATCCTCCATCAGAGGAAAATCAACACGTACAACCTCTGCTATAAACTATTCTCTGTGCACTAAAACCTGCTTTTTCTGTAGCCTGAATCTTTAAATATGAAAATTTTACTTTCATCCAGGATGTATTAATAGTCTTCCTGTTGTAGGTGGACTGTGTTTGAAATTTGCACTGAGGACCTTCTTCTTTGTTACAATTTATTAAACACAGGACATTTTTCTTTGCAAAAAACATACACACAGACACAGATTCTTCTTTAAACCAAATTTTGAATGTTTGTAAGACAATTCACTGAAGGCTGAGGCATTTTTAATGGAAGAAAAAAAAACGTCCAGCTTTGTGGTTGTGTGGCAGGAAGAACAAGAACAAAGCAGCCTCGCTGTAAAACTCGAAACTTGGTTTCGGATACGGTTACTCCAGCCTTACCCCGAAAAAAAAAAGTAGTGTTGCATTGAAACAAACTAAATAAATAACTTAAAGCTTCATATTTTCCTCTTCTCCTGTGTTTTATTTGAAGTGGTGATCCATAAGAAGATATATTTGTGGTTTTAAGAACCAAAAACCATCTCAGTGTAGTTTTACATCTCCTCTCTCAGGCTTCTCTCTGGAGCTCTAGTAACAACAGGTTGGTGAGCCAATCAGAAGAGAGGAGGCTCTGAGCCTCTCTTCTGATTGGCTGACTGTTGTCTGAGTGATCCAATAGAAATATAGCAGATTTCAGGTAAACACTCCAAATCCTGCAAGGATGGGTGGTAGGTCCAGGTGGGCGGGGCTTGGGGCATGGCTGAGAGTGGTGACGGCTTTGTTGTGACATCACAAAGTTCCAGAAGTCCTGACGGCTGGTTTTAAGGCTCAGTTTCTGAATACAGGCTGTGTGCATTTCTCTGTGGACTGAGGCTTTGATACTTTCACAGTATTAATATAGAACCTAGACCTGCTTTATGATCAAACTACACATGGACATCTATACAATATGGGACCTTTAATATCTTGACCTTTAAAGCAGTAATCTGAAACATTCTTGTGCTTTTATTTTGACACTAGAAGTCATTGCTCTGGTGTTTCTGCTCTGCACTTCCCAGAAATCACAGTGAAGTTGATACTGTTGCATCTTTCCTCTGTGTTGAGGTCGCGTCTTGTTCTTGGTCTTTAAGACAGAAAAAAGTTTACATGAAGTGGCTCGAGGTTAAAGAGGTGACATATCAGAAACAACATTTATTCATGTAACATTAATTTGCATATTGAGAAAAATCATCAGTTGCTCTCTTGTGAGGTGACTGTGTGTGTGTGTATTTCGTTGGGGGTGGTAATCCTGCCCCCACTGTCTTTAAGTCCCCAGCCTCGTGGTCACATGGCACCAGAGGGTGGGGTAAGGAGAGGGTAGGGAGGTTTGGGAAGGGGGGGGGGGTCCTTCTCCTTTTCGTGCCACAACGGACTGCCCAGCCAACCAGAAGATGAGACAAGAAGTGCACCCTTGTTGTTTGTTCGCCTTTGGCTCCTGCCATCTGTCCGACTGGTTCCTGACACCTGTACCAGCCTGTCAGAGCCGGGCTTCCCTGTCATCGGGGGTAACGCGGGGTCTGGCCTGTAGGGAGACACAGAGAAGTGGGGCAAATGTAGCAGCTCCAGAGAATTAAGGAAAGAGGTGGGTGTGTGTGTGTGTGTGTGTGTGTGTGTGTGTGTGTGGGTCAGGGTGAAATTGAGGCCACTTTTTTGAGAAATGAACTCAACAGTCCTCTAAACTGCACCTGCTGCATACATATATTTAACATATATCATTTTTTGGTAAATTACCTTTACAGGTGCTTGTACCGCAAACCGTTCTTCATCAAAATATTGGCTAGAAGTTCAGAGGCGACTGGAAAGCAAATAGTTGGCATGCTGTAAAAGCATGGAAACAGCTATTAATGCGGTGCCAGATGTTCATCAGACGGTGATGTAAATGGGAGGATTCGCAGTTATTTTTGAGGGGCAGGCTGCTTGAAAGGCAAACGCCGTTGCTGCGAGGACCGATGTGTTCATGTGCACCTCTTATCTGAGCCAAGAGGGGTTCACTACCAAAAAAAAAAAGAGAGAGTCTGCAACAACTCAGGCCAGCTCTGAATCGACGACAAAGGCCCCATGAAAGAGCACATTAAATTCTATCACTAAGGTGATGTCAGAGTGATGGAGTCCTCCAAGACACGACGGCCCCCCCTGGCTGAGCTGCAGGGTCTTTTTGGCACCAGAAGAAAAAAGAAACAGATGCAGCCTAAACCTGTTAGTCGCCCACCTCTAATCGGCTTACACTGGCTCGGTGACAGGCGACTGGCACCTCCAAAGGGTCGCAGACATGGCTGCTCGTGCACACACCTCACAAGAAAAGATGACATGTTGGATATCCACATGAAACCAGAAACAGCACTTCACACGTTCGGCAAGCTGGTAAACCAGATCACTGAACACATCAACCTCACCTTTTTAATGCTCATAACTATGTATTTGCATCCACATATTCTCATCCAGAGTGTGTTTTTAATATGTTCCTTTCATCCTCCATCCAAAAATCACATTTGTTTCTCTGACTCAAGAGAAAATTAATTTCCGGATCATTGTTTCAGGGTGTTGTTTGTGTCCTTCGGGCACAAATCAAGTCATAAACACTTTATTTTCAAACACGTGAGCCTGCAAAATGATTTCTGTGTGGAGTTTTAAAGAATGGATTTCCCGTAGATGCTAACAGGTGTGAGGAGAGGAGTGGATGGTAAAATAAAGTTTCCTAAACCTGCTGACCCTCACGAGAAAAAGATCTCCTTTTCCTCACACTTGTGTAATGTGAAGTCACCCCCTCTGATCACGTCCAGTTGCTGCGTCTTGCAGGCGAAAGCAGGTGGGAAAGCGATGACCACGAACTAGCTACAGCGGCCGTTTCTCAGCCGAGGATGATCCTGTAGGTCCCGACAAGTCAAACAACAAAGTGGCTCTCTGCCAAGTTATGGAGCCGTTCACACAGACATGAGGAGGAATTAACACGGTGTTAACGCGGCTCAAACCTCAGCGCTGAGGGCCACTCATGTTTACAATCGGAACAGAGGGGCCACTGTGAATTACAGCAAACTGACGAACCCGTATGTGTGTGCAGGGCCTGACCTGACAGCACTTACACTGACTGAAGAAATGCAAACACACTATAGAAACATTTCAGTGCAAATACTCTTCATTGTTATTCAGTTTGTGTTACTACATTGGAAAAAAAAAAAAGAGAGAATTTCATTCTCCTGCTTCTCAGATTTAACAAAAACCTGTAACCTGTATTTAGTTTGAATGAAAAGAAGAGAAATGCATGATGCAAGATACAAAATGGTCTCGTGCCACAGTTCATATGAGGTGTACAGCAGTTTTGTTTGGAATAGTCATTCATTTTTTCTTTTCTGAATACCACTTTTCTTCTCAGATTTAGAACTCTACAGCAGTTTTAACTATTGATTTGCTGGCATGCAAAAAAAAAAAAAAAACTGCAGCTGCCATGAACGTTTACTAGCATCGGTGTGTGTGCTTGTATTGTAACTTGGTTTATTGTATAGTCATGTTATCACCCAACATTAATGTTATTTTTTTAGCTGTTCTTTCTGCTGTTGAAAAACTTTTTGTTTGACTTGCCACGTGAGTCAGAGTCAAACATAAAGTTTGAAATAAAGAAAAACATTATATTATAATTCAGCCATGTTGATAACACTGCTCCGGCAACCATTCATTTTCCACCGTAGTTTCTTCAAAAACAACAACAACAAATAAAAATAATTTTTGCTGCTTTGAAATGTAAAATACATTACTTCATTCTTTTCAGCATGGTCACAGCCAACATCAGATATTTCACCTAACATCAGCGTCTCTCTTGCGTCTGCAGGTTGTGACTGAAACTGAAGAGCAGCATGGAGACCTCCGCTCCAACAGCCACAGAGAAGAAGGAGTGTAAGCCCTCAGGTCTGGATGGAAGCAGCTTCTCAGAACTCCCCAAAAAGCCCTCACCCACCACTCTGACCAGAGGTACTGCAGCTTTCCAGCGCTGTTTTCTCACTTACCTTTTACACTAGATGGTTGAGACTGGGTTGCAGGTGACACCTAGCTGAACCTAACACAACAGACCTGCAATAACGCAAGTCCCTATAACACAACACAGTTCAATAGCACCAGAAACTGCAGCCTCCAAAGTCAAAAACTGAACAAGATAACCTTCATGAAGGAGGACTCACTGCAGGGCTGTTGTATCAGACTGCACCGGTTTTAGCTAGGTGTTCCTAATAAACTGCCAGCTGAGTGCACAGTAGGTATTACACACGATAACGGCAGTGTAATAGTAAACAAGGTCATTTAGTAATTTTGGTGATGAAATGGGAGAGCTTCAGCTCTGTTCAGTGTAATGCAGCGCTCTTGCATCCTGCTGTCTGTCCGTAGGATCATGCACTCTGCAGTGCAGTCAACCGAAACGTTGCGGCTATTCACACAAGTTGCTGGGTGGCGCATGAAAAGCGTTGGACCCAGAGACAGGGGCCGTGTGTTTCCGAGATGTCAAAGAATGGGTGATGAAAAAATGTTATAATGAGGTCGAAAGACCTTGTTCTCACCTCCCGAGTGTAAATTTCATGAATTACTAAAAAAGGCTGGCATAGCAGTGGACGACATAGTGTATCAGAGGCCTCGGATAAAGGCTGGGAGGAGGGAAGGGCCTTTGAAATGCTAACAAGATGTCGTATAACATTGTGGCAGTATTTATGCTTAATGATGGGCTTGGTGGCCTGCCACGAGAGGAGCCATGAGCATTAATTGTTTAGGGATGCGGGGTGAGAAACTGGGACGTTCCAGTGCTCTCTCCCTGGCACCTCCACAAAGAGGCCACAAGTTTTTCAAACCAGCAAAGAAGAAAATATTGTGCTTGCCACAACATGAATTATTCAGCCATTTACACAGTTATGACCATTGTGTGTGATGTACGCAGTCAGGGGTTGAATTTTCATAACCTTGCACCACTGTGAAGAAAGTAGTCTTCACCCATCACCCATCAGGGGTTATTTGTGCTGGTGAGGTCACACGGAGGGTGCAGGGTGTGCAAAATTCCCTCTTATAATGGGGTCATAATTAAAAGATGAGAGCTCATGTTTTCATTAGTGAATATGTGATATAAACTCCTCATAACGAGGTTGGAGGACCTTGTTCGGGCCTCTGAGGTACCACTGTTATAAATTACTAACGCCTGCTGGTGGACACTGAAAGCCCCCAGGAAGACACGCTGGCATCATCTGAGGGGCCACTGCAGAAACATATCACTCAAGTTGTTTTACTGTTTAATGAAGGGCCTGGTGGCCTGCCATCACAAAGCCCACTTTGTGGCACAGGGGGACAGTAGAAGTAGGGCATTAGTATGTCATTAGACACTTTTAAAGCTCTGCTTTTGTTTTCAATTTGATGATTCCTTCCTTTTATTTGAGCTGCTTCTCAGATTAGTTTGCATGTGCAAACAAAAATATGGGACAAGTGCGAATAAATCAAGCAGCCTGGATACATTCATGCTTAAAGGTCTTTGTTTATTCAACTTTTATTTGAACTGGAATTTCAAAGTACTCCAAACCAGGCAAACTACATTACATAGTTATAATATGTAACTTTTTCACATTAAAATGTCTAAAAATGACTAGACCTATGTAATTTTTTTGAATTGTATACTTTCATTATCACAAATGTTTCCATCAACTACCAATGCTAATGGGCTGTTTCTTTCGTCATCTGTCAATGGTGGTTTCCTGCCAGAAGAGTCACATTTTTAAGATACACTTTTGACACCTTGGTGGTTTTCAGCTCTATATTTGAACCAGATGAAGGATTTTAGTCGTCGGACGTCTGGATCTGAAGTTATCAGAGAAACAAGCTGAGGAAATGTTAGACAGCTCAGCTCCCAGCTGCTGGAGACGTCCTGTCCTGTGTCACTGAAGAGCGTCAGTGAATCTCTGATTTTTCAAGTGAACCTGTTTTCTTCAGTGTTTCTACTGGTTTGATTCGCCCTGGTGTGTTTGTTATGGAGAGGAGGACACCTCTGTGGATAATTCAGCTGCTGGTAAAAACCTCCTGAACGTCCCACGCTGAAGGCTGAACCGGGAGAAGCTGATGGCAACGGTGGTGAAGACAACAACTCCCATGATCCCGCGCTACTTTACAACATCACCCAACTCCGTCTTTTGTCATGGTTTTGATTGACAGGCCCCTAGTGGCAGAAGTTACAGACCGTGCGTTTAAGCTTGATAATAAAACAACACAATAAAATATTGTAACTGTAGTAGAAACATCCTGAGAACATCTTGTTCACTTTAATCCGCCGTGTCAGCTGGCCACGAATCTCATAACTGCTTTCATGAGAGCTCACTGTGCTTGTGTTTCATGGAGACACGCCTCGCCCTGTTGAACTTCACTGTGACTCCGAGTGTAAGAATATAATGGAAGTGTGTTTGGCCTCTAATGCGGAGTGTGTCCAAGAGGAAGGAGAGGAGGTAGGAGAGCGTCCAGGGATGCTGGCACGAAAGTGCAGGTCGGGTTCAGTCCATGCGATAGGAATCAGGGCCTTGTTAATGGTTTTAAATGGGCACCCACATTCTGTGTGACAGCCTGCATCTGTCTCACAGCTACAGGGCATGCTTCAACAGGCTCGGCCCCTGCAACCCGACTCCCAGGCCCCTGGGATTTACGAGTCTGTGTCGGCTTGTGCCTTACCATGTCAGAGTAACATGTGTTCAGATTAGGTGCCCGCTTCCAGAACTGTAAAACATCTCATGGTTTCAAAGGCATACCTGTGATTGATGCACCTCCTCCTCCTCCTCCTCCTCCTTACTTCACGCCGTCTGAGGGTATAAGATGCTCAGATGTGCCGTCTCCCGCCGCCTTCCCCCTGGCCTCGTCTGAGAGGGAGCATCGCCTTCAAACATAGATCTGCCAGCTTGTTGTTTTACGGCCCTTGTTATATGCTGAGAAAGTTTGCCAGAGAGAATTTTTCCATCATCCCTCACTTTGGTGTTGACTGTACGAGGCCAGTGGAGCAGACGCTCTCTGTTATTTCTACCTAACCAGTGTCTTATATTCATCCTTCTTTGAGTTCGGCCGTAGCTTTTGCGAACTCCCGCCAAAGATTGATGTTCTTCAGCATTATAAAACACATTGTCTACGCATGATTATTCACAGCTTCGATGTAAGAAGGATGCCAATGATAGGCACCGGGAAAAAACTTTCCCAGCATTTGTCAACACAGCATTAAATTAACCCCTCCTCGAGTGCACGGATCAACTGCTAGTCTGACTCGTAGAAGTCACTGTGGTGTAGATGGAAGAAGAAGAGGAGTCTGGTGTAAAAAGTGTGGTGTTGTGATGAGGTTCTGGGTGTTAATCATGGTCAGCGTGGGTAAGGCTACGTACACGCTAATACGTCTTAATTTTAAAACGTCCCCGGTGGAGCGCATACTGCTTAGGCTCAAGTCCACACTGCAGCGGCCCAGGTTCAAAGCCACCCACCCTTTACTGCATGTCACCCCCTCTTTCTCCCCCAACTTCCCTGTCACTCTCTCACTGTCCCTTAAAAAAATATAACTAAACTTTAAAAAAAAAAAAAAGCCATTTTAAAACAAAAACAATCTCTGTGCAGACGAGCGTTTTACCTCCAAATCAGAAATGATCTCCATCCACACTAACACACCTGAAAACACACACACACACACATGATCATTCACGTGCCCTGGGCATGTACCAGCAGGTGTAAAACAGGAAGCAGATGATTAATTGTAGTAGGTGATTAGTTGCAGAAAATACTACGAAGGAGGAACAGCAAAGACAGTTGTAACATTAAAATGCAGAATTTAACTGCACAACAACTTTTCAAACTAAAACGTGGCCAGCAGCGTTTCCAAAAGTCTCTGTTTTAGGTGCTCGTAAACTCCAGAGTAGTGCGGATGGCAGGAGTAAACGTACCATAAGAGATACATGTTAAAACTAAAACGTAGTAGTGTGGATGTAGTCTAAGTCTCCGATAGAGATTGAGTCTGAAGGGGTCTCCACCAGGATCTCTGCAGTGGCCACAGGGCCTTTCTCTGGAGCAGGTCAGCCCCCCACCCCACCAGCCCTTCAGTGGAGAAAAATGTCCAAGAGAAAAATAGAACCGCCCCCCCCCCACCACCACCCTAACCCACTCTTACCCCTTACCCCGATCTCCCTCTCCATCCACAGGCCTACTCCAAAGGGAGGACAGCCACTAATCTTCCTGAGAAAGAGATTTCTGCCTTTCTTTCTGTGTCCCTAAATGAGGCTCTTACGCTGCTGTGGTTCCACAGACTGGGTGAGAGGTGGAGGGCGGTGTGGGGGCATAGGGGGGGTGGTGTGTGTGTGTGTGTGTGGGGGGGGGGGGGTATGCAGGGATGCCTGCATTCATGCCAGACCCCTTTGCCCCCTTTTGGGTTTAACTCCTTGGCCCTCCACCTTAGTTGAAAGAATCAGAGAATTAATCTCCTGATAACTACAGTATTTTAATCAGCGAAAAAATGAAAAATACCCATACTCCTTTGCAGCATCCAGACAAGTGAGTTAAAGCAGAGCAGAGAAACTTGTAGGTTAAGTGTGCAGCACAATGCAACTGTCGATATCTTTCCTATTTAAAGAAATGCTGTAGATCGAATTACGTGGCTGCTCGTACCAGAAACACCTCCCCCGGCTCCTGAAGCCACCAAACATGTCATGGGTTTCATTTTTAACAGCCCAAAGTACATATTCGTGTCCCCAGTGTTGAGAGAGAGAGAGAATCGGCTCTATCAGGTGTCATCTACAGTAACATTTTGTTACAGCATATCAATAATGCCTTTCCTGATACATGAGAAGACCTGCGAGCAACAAGCTTACAGGAAGGCCTATTGACCAAGTCCCGATGTTGTTTACTTTCCTGTCAGAGTCTATAGCCGCACACTATCAGGAACCCATCGCTGTCCTCCAAGAATGACTTAAAGAGCGGCCGATATTGTTTCT